TGCAAGACCCTGCAGTTGTTAGATACTCGCAGAAATAAGCCCAGGAAGTGCTGCCTTAGGGATCTTTATTGTAGAAGACATTTTTACCAGAACATTTCTCGTCTCGGGTTGTTTGATGGACGAGCCTGTCGCTGAGGTGAGAGAGACCGGAGCCCGCCAGCTCAGAGCTCAAGCAGAGAGATACACAGTGAGTGCTCCGGCAAATACATGATATGAGTGTTTAAAATGATGTGGGAGTGGGTAACAAATTATGGGGCGTGGGAACACATGATGGGGCGTGGGAACACTTGATGGGGCGTGGGAACACATGTTGGGGCGTGGGAACACATGATGGGGCGTGGGAACACTTGATGGAGCGTCGGAACACATGATGGGGCGTGGGAACACATGATGGGGCGTGGGAACACATGATGGGGCGTGGGAACACATGATGGGGCGTGGGAACACATGATGGGGCGTGGGAACACATGATGGGGCGTGGGAACACATGATGGGGCGTGGGACCAAATGATGGGGCGTGGGACCAAATGATGGGGCGTGGGAACACATGATGGGGCGTGGGAACACATGATGGGGCGTGGGAACACATGATGGTGTTTCCCCTCTGGATCGCCACACAGAGGCGCTGAAACAAGAAATTGACAGCCCTCGGGTCTCTGATGTCATCGAGGCTGGAACCCAATTATTAGAAAAATTCACGGTACTCCTAGCCCAAAGGTCGACTGTCTCAGACGCTATAAAAAAATACGTGAATTGACCTTCCAGTCGCCTGTATTTATCAAATAATCTGATGTTTCTATCACAGAAAAATAAGATCAGTTAAAAGAAACGAAATGAAAAAAATAAAAAAATAAACTAGACTCACGAAATGAACGGTAAAGTAAACAACACAGCTCAATTCCAATGCAATGTCACACAAAATAATTAAATCAAAATGAACATAAATCGAAATCTATGAAAATGCAATTTATCAATGCAATCGGAAACATTGAAATGGAATCGTAACGAATTTAGTATAGCATGTGTTGCTTTTGCGTGCAACAAACACGAAAAACTGTGTTTTTACCTGTCACAGGTGTGGCATCTATATAATAGGTATAAAAACACTCGCGTATTCGAATGGAACGTTGTGTAAAAATTTCAAAGCAATCGGCGAAGAACTTTCGGAAATTAGAGATTTTGAAATAAACGAACATATATATATATATATATATATATATATATATATATATATATATATATATATATATATATATATATATATATATATATATAAATGAATAGGAAAACTTTGATATAATAAACATCTTTTTTCAGATTCTTTACTTTAAAAAAGCATGACGTTTCGAATACTTCTTGTATTCACAATCAGATCTAAAATAAAAAATACGTCACAATAAAATAACTAGCAAACAAAGAACTAATACTGATTAAAATTACCTATCAGAAGAAGAGAGATATCAAACGACACTGGTTGTAAAACAAAACACTTAAGCTTACTTAATTAAAGTGATGAACTCGAATAAAATTTTATACCTGTCACATGGATAAAAGCTAATTCAATAAATATTATTGAAAATTAATTTATAAAACAAACCAACTGTATTAAACTTACGTGAAGTAATAAAACGAAGTGAAACTAGATAATTATAATATGGATAATCAACGCTAATACAACAATTATAAGAATAACTTCCTACTTACAAAAAATGTATATAAATCGTAAGCAAAATAGAAAACAATTGTAAAATACTAGCCAAAATACTTATGTAAACATAAATATCAAACAAACCTTAACACCAGAAATTTATTGAACATCTTAATTAAAGAAATAAAACAATATACAATATCAGCACTTGAAATAAGTAGACAAAAACAAATCGACAAATCATGGTAAACTAAACAGAAATTAAAAAAACGCATGCATGAACTATAAATCAAATTACAAGGTCTACCGTACATTATACAGTGTTCAATTGAACGGCCGAAAAGTAGCTACATAACAGAGGCCACAGCTTCCATATATATTCGGATTTCAATATTCTCAAATCCGACTGACCATTGATACAAGTGTCTAGAATTTTACACTCAGCTCAGTGTAATATGACTGAGCTGAGTGTATTCTTAAAATCGGATTCCAGCAGAGAATGATTAAACTCATGACAATGATTTCTAATCTCACTTGTACACTGTATAATGCACAGTAGGCCATGTAATTGGATTTATAGTTCATGCTGGTGGTTTGTTTTTTAACTTTTCTTTAGTTTACCATGATTTTTTTTTTTTTTTTGCTTATTTCAAGTGTTGATATTGTATTTTGTTTTAGTTCTAAGATCTACAATAAATTTTTTGATATTTAGTTTTGTTTGATACTTAGGTTTTCATAAGTTTTTTGGCCAGTATTTTACAATTGTTTTGTATTTTGCTTGTGTTTTATATACATTATCTGTAAGTGATTATTATAATTCATATAGAAGAAGTCATTATGATAATTGTTGCAATAGTGTTGATTTTTCATGTGTTAATTATCAAGTTTCACTTCGTTTGATCACATCACGTAAGTTTAACAGCATTGGTTTGTTTTATTAGTTAATTATTTACATTATCCATGTGACAGTTATAAAGTTTTATTCGATTTGATCACCTTAAGTAAGCTTAAGTGTTTTGTTTTATAACCAGTGTCGTTTTATATCTCATTTTCTTTTGATTGGTAATTTTGTTCAGTATGAGTTCTTTGTTTGCTAGTTATTTTATTGTGACTTTTTTTCTATTAGATCTGATGATGAACACGAGAAGTATTTGAAACGTCGTGCATTTTAAAGTAAAGAATCTGATACAAGATGTTTATTATATGAAATGTGAATGGTTATCCTATTCATTTTAAAATTAAGAAATTAAGATTCCCGAATGAAACATCGATCATATATACATATATATATATATATATATATATAGAAGAGTGATAATTATTAATTGTTTATATTATAATAATTATTATTATTATAATAATAATTGTTGTATTTAATCATTACCACTCTTCCTTCTGCTTGGTCTTGAGGGGAGGCGGCCTCGGGTGAAAGAGGGCTGTGACTATCTCTGTCAGGAACCCGTAGGTGCGGTACCGGGACGTCCACCTCCCGAGGGTAGTGCGGCCCAGGCTCTGCTTCAGGAGGCTGGGGTCGTTCATACCCTTGATGGGGTGGTTCTTCTCCGGCCCCGACCACGGTGGTCTCCGGGTTTGTAGTTCCTGTGCCTTTTTCACCAACTTCAAGGTCATCCCCGGAACTCGCAGTTCATGCGATGGCCCTGGAACCAATCGTATTAGCGTTTGCCTTTCCATTGGAGACAAAATCTTTTAACAACGAAGGGAGAGAGAGTCTGGACCTGTGTAGCTCTATACAGCGATAAAGGAATTTAAAGTGTAGAGGTGAACATGAAGATGCCAGGAGAAGCGAGGGCAGGAGTGTGAAGGAGCCTTGCAAGCAGCGGTGTGTCACTGCGCCTCCCCAGACAGGAACCACACCAGGGCAGCAGACGTGTTCACTCCGTTACACAAAGATAAAGGAGATACAAGTTTTTTATTCCTTGCAAAGTTTAAATTCTTGCCTCCTAGGAGTGCTCGAGAAATATTGACTGATTTTATTGACTTATTATCTAAACGACAATAGAGACACAGTGGTATAAACCTTATGGTCAATATGCCTTATGTAAACGCGTCGTATTGTTTCTTTTGCAATTGTCTGCCTAAAAGCTAAAGCAAACTTTCTGATGTAATCCAAAAAAAAAAAATAACAGGTAGGATATTGAAATAGCAATTTAAATGTCCATGAATTAGAACTACATTTTAAACTAGAATACACTTTAAAAAGTACTCTTAATCAGTTTTTCTGATTTAGGCAACCCAATTTCTTCTATTAAAAGAGCAGTACTCTAAAAATCAGGTCTTCAAGAAGGCAAATGACAAGCCCTCGTATAACAGAAAGCACCACCATTAAGAGCGTAAGCTGAAAGCTCAAGGCGTCCACAACACAATGTGATATAGTAATAAACAGAATTAGCCTCTAATAACGTTACTTATGACAGATAACTGCAGGTAACGAATCTCCCAACTCTGATCCATCGAAATGAGTGAAGCGTTCAGACACTCTCGAAAATAACGTCGCTTTTCGCTCGTATGCGCGCTATGGCCAAATTTGGACGTAATATGAAATGAAATCGACTCACAAAAGTGACGTCCTGGCCCGTTTTCTGTTTGAGTCGTCCGGCTTACTCGGTAAGGTTAGGAGAGGAAATGTTCAATTTACGTTTGTCATAACGTTTTGAGACTTTATGAGAATTTCCTGCCCACCTAACCTACCAGAGGACCCTTAACTTACTGTTGTTGAAAAAAATATATATTTTAATTTTTTTTTTAATTTTCAAATTACGTCCACTTTCGGCCATACGGGCAAACGGCCGAAAGCGACGTTATTTTTAAGAGGACAGGTTACAAAATATCTTAAGATAACTACAGCCTTGTAATTATTTCATTAACTCACAAGATACTAGAATATACTCTCACACTGTATTAAAAATTTAATATTGCAAGATACAAGATTCGACTCATATATAAAGTATGACAAATCATTCTGCTAGAAGGGAATACTAAGTGAACTAGACATAAATTAGGGTAGCAACATACTGATGTGTAAATAGGTTTATTAATTAAAAAAAAAGAGTTCGTGAGTTAAATAACTGAAATTATACATACACACACAGGGTGTGTGTTTACCTAGTTGTGCTTTGCCGGGGTTGAGCTTTGGCTCCTTCGGCCTGCCTCTCAACTCTCAATCAATCAACTTTTATTCACACACACACACACACACACACACACACACACACACACACACACACACACACACACACACACACACACACACACACACACACACACCAGTGGTGTAAGAGAGCCTCAGCTACGAGCAGTGTATTGATCCTTGTTTTTTCTTGACGCCTTTCAGAGTGGGGAATCTACTCCAGGACCATCGGGAGAGAGCCAGGGCAAAGGTAGGTTGTCATCCATTACAAGAGTGTGAGTGAGTGAGTGAGTGAGTGAGTGAGTGAGTGAGTGAGTGAGTGAGTGAGTGTGAGTGAGTGAGTGGGAGTGAGAGAGAGATAGAAGAGAGAGAGAGAGAGAGAGAGAGAGAGAGAGAGAGAGAGAGAGAGAGAGAGAGAGAGAGAGAGAGAGAGAGAGAGAGAGAGAGAGAGAGAGAGAGTTTCCAGGCGTCAGATGAGCTGCTGTGTGAGGTAACAGCTCCCATCTTGCAGCTTCTTAAGAAACATCACCACCATTCCTAATGGACCCGAGGATTAGTTAAAAAAAGTGAAATTGAGAAAATGAGAAAGCGTCATAGTGAGAATGGGGGAAGCGACACAGAAGGAGCTAGGAATACTGTTGAGAAAAGGTGTTCTCCAAGACAGGAAGGAAGGAAGGAAACTATCAGGGGAACGCGCCACGCCATTACGACAATACAGCGCTGGGAAGGGGTCAGGATAAAGACTTGGGATGGGACGGAGAAATGGTGCCCAACCACTTGGACGGTCGGGGATTGAACGCCGACTTGCATGAAACTCTACCGTAGCTCTACCGTCCACTCCAAGTGGTTGGGCAGGATAAAGAGTAGGGACGGAAGATGGAAGAGGGAAAGGGAACGGAGAATGTGTTGGCTGAAAACAGAAAAATGTGACAAGGAGAGATAGTGAGCTGAGTGAAAAAGAGAAGGGAGGTAAGAGTTGAGCAGAGTGGGGTGGATGGGCAGGATGGGAGGGATGGGGCGGATGGGGGGATGGGGACTCTAAAAAGAGCAGCGAGACAAGGGCGGGGGGGGGGGGGGTACCGCTCACGGGTGCTAATTAATAATATATAAAACAGAAACCTCTCGGGTGGCTTAATCCTCATCAGTCAGAGAGGAAAATCAAAAGGTATTAAGAAGAGTGGAAAAGGTAGGGTTATTATCCTAAGGAAGCCTAAGCCAGTACCACTGTGTAGTATTTGGTAGGGATATGAGGACAGGGACTTTAGATATGAGGACATGGACCTGGGATATGAAGACAGAAACCTTGGGATATGAGGACATGGGCCTGGGATATGAGGACATGGGCCTGGGATATGAGGACAGGGGCCTGGGATATGAGGACAGCGACCTAGGATATGAGGACAGGGACCTGGGATGTGAGGACAGGGGCCTGGGATATGAGGACAGGGACCTGGGATATGAGGACAGGGGCCTGGGATATGAGGACAGGGGTCTGAGATATGAGGACAGGGACCTAGGATATGAGGACAGGGGCCTGAGATATGAGGACAGGGACCTGGGATATGAGGACAGGGGCCTGGGATATAGGAAGGAAATACAGGAAAAGGAGGGACGAAGAGAGGAAAACACTGGGAAAAGGAAGTAGGGAATAAGAGATGCAGTGTGTAGATGATGATGGGTGGCAGGAGAGTAAGTGAAGAAGGGATGGTGGTAATATTACGTGGATGAGTGTTTGGACAATTTTTGTGCCCAGTATGTATGGTGTGTGTGTGTGAGTGTGTGTGTGTGTGTGTGTGTGTGTGTGTGTGTGTGTGTGTGTGTGTGTGTGTGTGTGTGTGTGTGTGTGTGTGTGTGTGTGTGTGTGTGCGTGTGTGTGTGTGTGTGTGTGTGTGTGTGTGTGTGTGTGTGTGTGTGTGTGTGTGTGTGTGTGTGCGTGTGTGTGTGTGTGTGAGTGAGTGAGTGTGTGTGTGTGTGTGTGTGTGTGTGTGTGTGTGTGTGTGTGTGTGTGTGTGTGTGTGTGTGTGTGTGTGTGTGTGTCTTATATACTTATGTTCATATATGCATTTGTGAAGTGTTATATGTAAACACATTTATGCAATGATATGTGTATTTAATCTTGGAAAGTGTTAGTGTATAAGTTTTATGCATAAATGTATGTGTGTTTCAATCAGCCGTCAAAAACGTACTAGACCCAAATTAACCATCTTTAAACAGAGAAAATCAAACGATTTTGGAATATAATTAATGACTTCATTTCCATTGAGAATAAATTCCAGTAAAAAAACCCAGTCCTCGCCTTTGTGATGTACTTACGTGAGAATGATATGTCCGTTTTAGAACTACATCATTTGTTAGAAAAATTTACCTACACAAATAAAAAATGGGAAATAAATAACGCCAAGTTTCCTAGACGCAAAACAAAATCGCGAACCAGCCTACCGTGAACTTGGTCTAGCATAAACACGGCCTAACATAGCAAACCCTAGGCCTAGATTAGGTTATATTGGGCAATGGTAGTGTAAGTTATGCTGAAATCAGGTTTGGTTGGATTTTTTTTTCGCTTTAAAATTTCTATTTATTTTTCCTCTATGAATGATCGTTTATACATATATTTTTTAATCCATACGGACATTTCAATATGCCCGCATGAGTGCGGGTTGAAATAAACATATACACAATATATTAAACAATAATCCACAGAGTAAGCGATACAATTTACGAGTCGCGCTCGTTTCCTGTTAGATTTCAATAGGTTTAGGGTAGGTGACATCCGCGAGTACCTTATCATGACTCACTTCCCGTTTTCTGTGTTACAGAGGCGACGAGGTTGCAACAAGACGACCAGGAGAACACTAGGGAGTCGCCAGGTTCAGGTGAGTGAAGGCGGCCACCTGCTACACCTCATCCCACCTCATTCATTTGGAGGTCATCATTCCTGGACTAACTTATACTAGACTAGGACGACATTTTCATCATATTTTTACTTTGATTTATTCTTGTTTATATTATTCCTTTTTATGTTTAATGAAAAATAATGTTATTTGTACTATTAATTTTGTTGTTGATCTAATTTTTTTTCTAATTTATATTATTATTTGTAATTCTTATTTGAATTATTCTGTTATATATAATTAATTTTTGTACTCCTGTTTTTATATCAATTATTATTGTTATTCTCATTATCAATATTACTATTGTTTGTTATTATTATTAATCTTACTTTTTCACATTATTACTATTATTCTAAACAAGTGTGTCTATTATTTGGAATCTTGGATAACTTTGTTGATGCTTAGATAGTTTTGTGTTTCGAATCATGGTAATTAGTGTTGTAGGTGGGGTCATGGTAACTAGTCTTGGGGTGGAGGTCGTAGTAATTCGTCCTGTGATTGGGATCAAAAGTTACTAGTCTTGTGTTGGAGGTCAAGGCTAATACCTGTACCAGCCGTCATATATTCCCCCGTGATGACTATGGATGACATATGAAACCGTTCTATTTATTATCAGACATTATATATATATATATATATATATATATATATATATATATATATATATATATATATATATATATATATATATATATATATATATATTTATATATAATATATATATATATATATATATATATATATATATATATATATATATATATATATATATATATATATATGTATATATATATGTATGTATATTGGACTGAATACTCTTGAAATAAGAAACTTTCCACTGTATTCCATTGTTCATGTACAGACTGAATTAACTTTGTAATGTTACTCTATGATTGCAGATTATGTGGGTATATTTCTATTTGAATGGCAAGCCAGTAATCATACACACCTAGACTATATGCATATCTACGTTTGCCACCATTACATGTGTTCCAGTCATGTTAATCCTGTTCTTATAATTACTAACCATAGTACAGCACATTGTGGTGAATTCGTGGGTGCCTGTGTCTGTGTCAGCCATATATCTGTCATCCCACTCTAGACATCATTACCATCTGCCTCTTTAAACTCATTATTAGCTTCATCTCTTACATGAACTCTACCAATATTCCGTCGGATCAGGATCTTTTTGAAGTAATTTGCTATGACTTTACAAATGTGTTTAAACCACTCCATCTGTGCACTCATGTTATCGCGGGTTCTGTAATGTATTTAAAAATTCTGATCCGACTTTTGGGTGAGTAAACTTAACTAAACCTGTGTGTAATGACTTGTCTACGTTCTTCATTCTGGACTCATATGGGGACACTTTCCCAGACTTCCATCATTATTAACATTATTGTGTCTTCTTTCATAACTATTCGCACCTCTAGTAGCTATTTTATGATTAGAGGCTCAGTTTGATACTGGAAGCGCCAAGAAACGAACTAACGAGGTGGAATAAGTTCTGGAAGGAAAAACACTCAGACGGTGTTTCCAAACTGTAATTTGTAAACATTGTGGCTCTTGGAAAATTTGCTTCTCCCATAAACATTACCTAATGGTGAAAATCACGCATTGTGTCACTGGTAGAGGCTTTCCTCTGGTTTAAATCTGTCCTTTCCTACTTGTACATTTAGAGATACTCGGGTAGTCTCGTGCAGTATGTGAGGTTATACACTTGTGTTATAAAGGTTGTAATTGTAAACACAACTGAGGTGCAGCAACAATTCGCGAGGAGTTTTTTTTTTTAACATCGATAAAGAAAACGACTTGCTGAAAATTTTTAGCAAAATTTCTGCTTTAAATGCCGTACATTCAGGAAAAATATTTTAACTCAAAATATTAGATAAAAGAATACGATGTAACCATTAGTGTGACCCCCTTTCTTACATTTTAAATCAAACTCGGAACAAATTAAAATATTTAATGGTTCATTTTTCCTGGCACTTTTAGAAGATTTATTGTTGGAAGAAATCGGGGAGTTTTGAGGTAAGAATCCCAACTGTGTAATGCATGGACTCATAGATGGTGGTTTTTCTCTCTCATGACTTGCTTTGATCAGTATCCGTTCCTGCATTCGTCATACAAAAATCAGAACTGTTGTATATGATATATATATCTTATCGTTTGATTTTATGTAATGTGTATTATTTATCAAATGAGTTTGCGAAAGTGATTTTATATATATATATATATATATATATATATATATATATATATATATATATCTGTTTTTCAAATAAGAAAATTGTGCATCATTATCATAATCAAACTATCATTTTCGCAATTCTCATTTTATTTTTGCATATCGTGCATGGGACGACTGCCATTTTCCATAGTTCCGTTTTACAAGTATTTTTTTACTCAATAATAATATTAATAACAATAAAAATAATAATATGATCCGTTTGATAATGGCAACAAATTACTCCCCTTTATTACAAAGTTTTAAGAGGATATTTTGATAAGATTTCCTTGGTTGCTCTTGCGAGTCTTTAGAGCATGGCGCACTGCACATATCCCAAGAACAAACAACGTTGGCACAGCGTGTTAATAACGCTCTTACTTTTTGTTTAATTTACAAATAGCGTTGTGGTTGGGTTGTTTGTTTGATGGGATAGTTCTTTGACTTTCTTCGTCTTGAGGCATGAATATAATGGTCCCGCACCTGGGTGGCAGAGGGAGCGCTGATCACCACTGTTCAAGACGGCAACACCTTGGTATTTTTAACGGGAGAATTCTCGGGATGGGTAATGTTGTGGTCGCTTGTGGTGGTAATCTCCTCTCGCGGTCAGGTTCATGTCCCCTCCCGCCACTCTTTCTCCTGACTGTTGACGGGATTATGGGTAATACTGACTTCTGGGAACCTTGAGCCACATCCTCAAGTCAGTTTACTTACACATAATGGCTGATTGAGAGGCAGAAGAGTTGGAAAGGCTCAACACACGAAGGCTACGAACCAGTCGCGATATCCCGAGACGAGACGTACGTGCGTGTGTGCGTGAGTGTGTGCGTGAGTGCATGTTTACGTTTGCATGCTTGCGAGTGCATGCTTGCAGGGCTTGAGCTCTGGGGGGCCAGATTCCCGAAAGCACTTACGCAAGCACTTACGAACCTGTACATCTTTTCTCAATCTTTGGCGGCTTTGGTTCCAATTATTAAACAGTTAATGAGCTCCGAAGCACCAGGAGGCTGTTTATAACCATAACAACAGTTTAATGGGAAGTTTTCATGCTTAAACTGTTTAATAAATGTAACCAAAGCCGTCAAAGATTGAGGAAAGATGTACACGTTCGTAAGTGCTTGCGTAAGAGCTTTCGTGAATCTGGCCCCTGGCTCTCTGGTCCCGCCTCTCATCTGTCAATCAACTGGTGTACACATTCCTGAGCCTGAGAGCTACGCTCGTGGTGTCCCGTCTTCCCAGAAACTTAAGTGTGCGTATGAATGTGAATGTGTGTGAGTGTGTGTGTGTGTGTGTGTCAGTGCGTGTTTGGGAATATGTATGTGAGTGTGTGTAATTACCTAAGTGTAGTTACAGGATGAGAGCTACGCTCGTGGTGTCCCGTCTTCTCAGTAACTGGGATGTGTGTGTGTATGTGTGTGTGTGTGTGTGTGTGTGTGTGTGTGTGTGTGTGTGTGTGTGTGTGTGTGTGTGTGTGTGTGTGTGTGTGTGTGTGTGTGTGTGTGTGTGCGTGTCTTGTTTTGCCTCACCCGTGACCCTGGGGTACGGCACCACACCAGGAAGGCTCCACCACCACTCATGCTTCTGACCCCGTGAGAGCAGGGGGGCGCGCGCTCCCTCGCGGCCTCTCACACAATAATTCTCATTCTTCTCACCATTGTCTCGTGCCAGCACTGCATGTCACTGTATTCCTGCACATATCTCAGAGGCTGACGGACCGAGCAACACTACACGCAAGATGCAATTATTTCAATTGTAGGGTTATTGCATTAGTTTTCCCGGGCCTTTCAATTATATATATTGTATAGCATTTAGACGCGGGAACCAGTGTGCACGTAATCCCAGGCAATTGCACACACACATTTTATAAGCACACTCGCTCACACACACAAACTTATGTGTATGGACACACACACATTCCATGAGGGTGTGTATGTACAACATTCAAAAAAAGCACACGTACACACACACACACACACACACACACACACACACACACACACACACACATATATATATATATATATATATATATATATATATATATATATATATATATATATATACACACACACACACACACACACACACACACACACACACACACACACACACACACACACACACACACACACACACACACACACACATATATATATATATATATATATATATATATATATATATATATATATATATATATATATATATATACAGATACACTTGCACGTAACAATGCTGAGGTGCCTCACATCAACTGACACAAACTACTACATACCCCAGAACAGCGGCCACTTGACCATACAACTGCGTGATGGCAGTCAGCTGTCAAAGGTGTTGTGTATGGTTGCTCGGTGGGCGGTCAGCAAGCACCGAACCTTAACCTCGGGTCTCGAGGGGTAGAGGTCAAAGGTCATCTACGGGGCCGAGAATGTTTGGGATGGTATACCTTCTTGGTGACCTTGGTTATTCTATCCTTTTGTCTCATTATTTTACGATATTTCCTCTTAATTTGTTTCGTCTTTATTTTTTTATGGCGTTTCTCATTTCATTTCGGTCATGGTAGCAAAAGCTAAAGTGATAGAAAACCCCCCAAGCTTACTTCTAAGAGAGCATATACATGTTGCGTATTTTTATCCTTGGTATTCCTTTTTTACTTTAGTATTATTTTTAATCTCTTTTTATTTGTTTATTTATTGTTTCCTGGTTTATCGGATCATTGTGTTCGCATGAAGCTGTTCTCTGATTGGTAACAATA